AAATAAATTATTTTCTGCCAAAATATTTTTGAAAATTTATATACAAACGCTTTATATATATGAATCATAAGTCTTAAAACAACAAAGCTGCGTGCCAAATTGCAAAGTTTAAACACCTCCAAATATATAACAGATAATAAAAGCACAGAAAAATTGGCAATATCAAATTAAATAAGATTTCAGTTCACAGTGGCAGGCGAGCAGGCAGTGTTATGTATAAAAAATTCAAGTGCAAATAGCAAAAAACCTTAAAAAAATGTATAAAAAGATACGCAGATATAACACGCGTTAAAAGAATGAATTAATGATGATGAATAAAACTAAAAAAGTGTATCAAGAAATCTCTGTGACAGCAGCTAATAAAACGATTCAACGCCTACTATCTAGCCATTAAGTATAAATCTTAAGTATAGAACAAAATGAGAAAAAATGCGGTAGAAGCAAGAAAAATTAAAACTATAGCAATAATAGATATTATTGTGCAAAAAATTAAGACTACTTTGTCAGTTGCGCTAATTGTTTCTTTCTACCAGACATTTATAATTGCAGTACTCAATCGCCCTGAAGGCCGCACTTTTGCAAGAAAAAAACTTTTTTTACAAATGCCGCTACAATTGAAATGTAAGAATGCTTAACTGCTGAATAGTTTCCAACCAATTAAAAAGCATTAGCGTTACTACCTGATTAACTGCAAAACAAAAAATATTTATAAATGAAAAAGTTCAGATACTGCTGTCTGTCTGCTACTTCTTCCCTCTACACATCTCGATCATTGACAATTACAAATCAATTTTTTCTACTATATATCTCAACAAGCAAAGAAAAAAAATCTCTTTCCGTTTCTTAGCCATAAAAGGCAACTTGATAATTTGTTAAAGCATATAAAATCCATTGAAGATAGAAAAAAAAACTGCTACATAAGTAAAAAATTTAAACCGATTAAAAATGAAATCTAAACACAAAAAACTTCAATAAAACAACGTAAAGAAACTGTTGCTGAATAAGAATTAAACCGATTTCAAGTTGAGATACTTCGCGCACAAGTGATCACTACAAAAGGATATTATAATTATTTTCAAGTATTCTTGTAAACGTGATTTGTATGTTACTAGCCCGTGATGTGCCCGTGTAGTAGATAAGTATCTAAGCAAAAACGCGCGCATGTCTTTAACCCCCCACGACTAAGCAAATAAATCTGTTTAAAACCGGGAAAAATAAAAACAAAAACAAAAACAACTTTTTGACTAAAAGATTTAGCATTAACAGCAGGAAAGTGTAAAAATAAAAAGTGCCAAAACTTAACTTAGCATATTTTGTACGAGGGCGGTTTGATAAATCAGTGACTTCTTTAATAAAACAAAATTTTTTCGGCAAATAAACATTTTATTTTTCTACATAATCACCTTTTAGCTCGATACATTTAGTCCACCATTTTTCTAATTTTCTTATTCCCTCCAAATAATAGGTTTTCTCAAAGCTCTCAGAATACCCATTTGTTTCGGTAATGACTTTTTCATTCGACTCAAATCTCTTAACGCACAGCCATTTGTTTAGGTTTGTAAACAGAAAATAAACGCAGGGGGCTAAATCTGGAAAATATGCTGGATGGGGTAACAGTTCATATCCCAATTCGTGGATTTCGGATCGTAATGCTTAATCAGCACACGAAATTTACTTTTTTCGATTTTCGTAAAAATTCACGAGGTTGTCTGCTATCAAACACCAACTGAACGACGTAGCTCACTTGCTCAAAATCAGAAAGTTGTCCACTGGTACATTACAGCTGACGACAGCACTGTTGCATTTGGAGTAACTACGCGGGAAATTCAAAAAGTCATTGACTTATCAAGCCGCCCTCGTATTTTAGTAGAATTTTAAATATATTTGTCTTAAATTGCATTGACGTTACTATTATTCTCAATACTTTGTTAATTAACTAAAGTACCAAAACTTAATTTAAAGGCATTCAAGCATACATCTAACAGCAGAGTCAATGAATTTTATGGTATATTTTGTTTGGTGCGGTTAATTAATAAATAAATTATTAAATTTGTCTTATTATGGATTTTCTGAGTAATGTAATTAGTTCTACTTAAAGGTTGTTGAACTTTATGTAAAGTTTTTGCTATTACTAATCGAAAATATACTAATTTTAATTATTTTCATCTTTTTTATTTGATTTGATTTATAGATGCTCGACGAACATAATTAAAAATAGTTAGAGCATAACGTGAGAAAATGTTAATAGAATTATGTTTCTTATAACATATAAAATTATTATAAAAAATAAATCTTATTTAATTTATATGTACATTTTCCTTCCTGATTTTTACTCGTGACTATTCAAACGAAAAAATAAAATTAATTAAATAATTTTTATTATAATTTATTTAACTTTTGTAATTGCTACTACAATTTTATTAACATTTACAGACACTTAAGGTGTAAACGCACGTCTTACAATAACGGAAGTGAAGTTTTTTGTATTATTACTTGAGCCAAGAAAAAAAAAACATAAATAATTGTAAGTGCAGATGGCGTTATGAATAATTTAATTTAAATTTTGTAACAAAAGCATTATTCAAAACCGTTTCGACTGTGTCACTTCTCCAAAAATGGTAAAAGATATCTAATAGAATAAATAAAATAAAATTTAATTAACATATAACAATTCAGACCACAAATACAAAAACTTTTATACATTCTAAACTAAGAATAAAGATTATGTCAGCTCAAACAGCTGTTATGACGAATAATTGTTGACAAACTCAAGTAGAACAACAAAAATCCAAGTAGAATTCTGAGATTTAGATACACTCTGAGATACATACACTCGTATAATACAATAATCTAGCCAATTTTGGAAACTAAAGCTGTAAACAATTTATTTCCCATATAAAATAATAAATAAAATATTTTATCTTGAGAATTTGTCTTAAAAAAACATTTATAATTTTAAAATTAATTTAATTAATTTTTATTGTATAAACAAGCAATACGAGCATATAAAAAAGGTCATTATACTATACATTTAATATTATATGTAAAATAATGATGTATAAAAATATTTCATGTATTAAAATAATAGAAAAATACAGAATAACCATCCAATTGAACAGCAACTAACTACAAACTACAAGCTATAATTTTCGTACTGGTGGCAACATCGCATTCGTATGTCGCCTAATGATTTTAGTCTAAGCCTAAGGAAGCATTTCTATCTCAGTTTTATCAAAAATATTTCTTCCATAACTGAATTCTTTATTTACCAAAAAAAACTGTCAGTAGTTATTATTGTCTCGACAACACACCCTATATGAATTTTTGTCAATTAATATTGGTAGATTAATTTTGCATGAAACCACGTTAAATGATGAAAACTTCAGTATAGATAAAGTGTACTTAAGTATGTTGAACACTACAAAAAGTACGAATAAAAAATTTTAATTCGCCTGGAATGTAATAGAACATTTTAAACCACTACAAAAAGTACAGAGAAAGATTTAAAATTCAATCGCCCCGAAAGCAGTAAAAGATTTTAAACGATCAATCAAAATTAACCCTGCAGAGCTACTCCAGTGTGTCCACGCACAATATGAATAAAGTCTTTGTGTCTCAGACCATAGTTATAATGAAGTAAGTAAGTTATAATAAAGTAAGCAAGTTATAATGAAATAAGTTATAATGAAGTAAGTTATAATGCAGTAAGTTCTAATGAAGTAAGTAAGTAAATTATAATCAAACTGATACAGTGCAAAACGCTAAGGTATTAGCCTGAAAAAAGTGCACATACTGCATAAATGATTTAAAAAGGTTAAGCTTAGCCCAACTTAAACAAAACTCACGTATATAAAAATAAACATATCTTAAAGATTCCAAAAAAGGACAAGACTTCACTAATATTTCACAAAAAAAAAAGGCCAGATAGAGTGAAGATGTAGTAATCGCCATATTTTTTTTATCAGAAAAATTTTCATATTGAACAATTCGTAACCAAAACTAGTGGAGACTGCATACCAAAATTGGGATATTTTGATCGGTCTTGACGATCGATGGTAGATGACCGTTATTGTTCTTAGACCTTGCCATCAAAGCTAATACCGCGAAAAAGTTTTAGAAAATTATTTAAAGTCATGACAACGAAATTTTACAATGAAAAAGAGTGGTCGTTTTAACAAGATCATACACCCCTTTACATAAAGACAGCCGGTGGCTGAGAGACAACATTTAACACTGCATTTTAATGAACACGTCATCATGAGTGTGTCATGTTCTGAATGCTTACGTCAGCACTAAAAATACTAAAGTGTTAATATATTCAAAACACCTTTCTTCAGGAATCGAAAAATAGCTTTCCATCTGCTTTAATCAAGCAGGATTTAATCAAGCTTAGTTAAAGCAGCGTTCAATACATTTATTGAACGATTCGAGATCTATTATTTGTGTTTAAGATCGTTTTATCGATAATTCAAAATATTTAATAATTTTTCAATTTTTTTTGTTGTTTGCAGTCGGAAAAGTGCTACATTACATCACACTAAGTGTGAATTATTTAAAAAAAAAATAAACTTTTATTTTTAAAAAATAAACAGATTTTGTAATAAATAAATAAATATAATAATGAAGTAATATATTACTACACAAAAATGTTTCTCAAATTTATGACTAATATAAAAATTAATTTGTTACATAATTTATTGATTTACAAGTATTTTGAATTTCTCTTTTGCAATATTTCAGTCTAAGTAATAAGTACTTAAAAATGACATTAAAATGCACTCTTAGAGAAGGAGAAAGTTTTTGCAAATAAAAATCTGAAAATAATTGCAATCTCCATAGAGCTTTTAATAACTTCATTAAATGTAACTGACAAACTGGCGGCTGTGGTAAGAAATGCAGATTTTATTATTACCACGGATTTTTTTATGACTTTGATAAACTGTTAAGTTCCACCTTAACACAAATGAACATTAGTAACTGCAACCTACGCCTAAACAATATTTTAACTGCATTTAAAGATTAATCATAATTGCAACACTTACTTATACTCACACATCGTGGGCTCCAAAATGTCTCCTGGCTTTCCATTCCATTGCCTTTGTCGTTGTTGGTGTTGCTGTTGTTGTAGTTGTTGTTGGTGGTGATACTGACGCTGATGATAATAATCATTATAATTATGAGCATTATTATTAGTATCGTCAATAATATGTGCTCCATTTGAAGGCGGTATATGCACTTTTGTTGGATGTGAACATTTTGGAGCCCACGAAGCAACTGCTAAATATATATCCGTCTGTGGAGGTGGTTCAGGTGAGCCATTTGTGTAATAACCATCTTCTTGTTCATCAGATGCATTGGAGTGTGTTATTTTTAATTTTCTGCTATCACCATTTGTTGATTGTATAGCTGTTTTCGTTGTTGTGGATGTTGATGTTGATGTTGATGCTGATGTTGTCATAAGTTTAGTACCATTGCTGGTGTAAAGATAATCATTGATTGAATGCGAGATTTGTTTGTTCGATTTCGTTGTACGCATATTGCTGCTATAGGTTTGTTGTTGATATGCAGAATTAGTTAGAGCAGCATATGAACTTTCATTTAGACTAGATTCATTTGCAAATTTCGTTGTAGGTGTTGCAGGATTATTAAGACTTGTTGGTGCACCAATCCAAGTTGTTGTTGGTACAATTGTCATTGTCGTGCCATTACCATAATGAGCACTCTTATTATTGTAATCTTGTCGTTGCATTACTTTCGTAAAATCCACATAAAGTGGTTCATCGTTTGCTGGCTTTCGCTGAAACTCATCGTCATCATCATCATCATCTATATGGCCATTATGTATGCTGCGATTATCATAGTCACGACCGTGTGGAGTGTTGGGCGCACCAACTGAACTGTAAAAACTATAATTACTTGATGAGGATTGTGAATAGGAACGATAACGTCGATAGAACTCATCTTCGAAGGGTAAACCTTGCGGAAATTTTGTCGAAAATGCTTTCTTCGACTTTGGAGAACCATGAGAGCCACTAGAACCAGCGGAGGAATTACTACCGGTACTACCATTTTTGGCTGCAGTCATATCTGTATTAATAGAATTGTTTATATGCGGTAATTGCTTACGTCGTTGTGATGCAGTTAAAGCTGTATAACGACGATTATTTAGATTCGGAGATGCTGAGATCGAAGATAATTTCAGTTCATCTTTTTGTTTCTTTTTTGTAGCACCTTTTGGTGTACCTGGTGGCAGTGGTGCTGGATAGTTCTTTATTGAACGTATGCAACGCTCGTTAGTTGCACTTGTAACTGCTGTGTTAGGTTGATTTTCTTTGGCCACTTTTGTCACTGTGGCATAGGCACGCTTTTGTGAGACATTGCTTTGCACAATACCAGCGGTGCGATTGTTATTGTTATAATAGTTACAGCCATTGTTATGCTTTGAGGATTCAAATGAGTCGCTGCTACAACTGACTGCAGGTGATTTTCGAACCGTAATGCCATTTGTGGGCTTTTGACGAAAACTTAAATTTGTATTATGAAAACGTTCAAAGTTTGTATGGTTTCTGATTGGTGGTATGGGTGGCTGATGCTGATTACGCGTGCGCAAATACTGTTTATTGGCAGTGAGTGGTGTTGATGTTGATGTTGTTGTTGTTGTGGGTGCAGAGCTAGGAGGCGCTGGTGCACGTGGCTTGGTAGTAACATTTTGCTGTTGAGTATTAGAATTGGCATTAGTGCAAGCTGTTTCAATGCGACGCACTAATTTAGGTGTCAACGGTTTAACCGTCGTAGTTGTTGTATTTGTATTATTTTGACGTTTATCAGTCATATTGTGGCCATTCTGTTGGCTAATGTGATTACCATTGCAGTTGTGATTATAGCGTGTGCTATAGAAACTGCTACGAAATGGTTGCTGCCTAGTAAAATTGCTGCTTACATTGCTACTGTTATTATTGCTATTATTGCTGGCACTGTTCTTAACATTGATGGCATTCGATGATGATGACGTGCTCAGATAATTGCCATTGTTATTGCTGTGAGATGTATTAGTCGTTATTATGCTTTTACTTAAATTTTGTTGACTCTGTTGACTTAAATATGTATTTGTTGTATTTGTTGTATTTGTGTTACTTGTGGTAAAATTGTTGTTACTATGATTGTTGTGATTGTTTTGTGTGGTATTTTGACCATAATGTATGGTACAACTACCACGTTGAGCTCTGAAAGAGCTATAAGGTCGTGAAGTATACTGATGACCTACAGGCATTTTTGTTCTTTTTTTTAATATTTGTAGACTTGAGTTTACAAAAAATATAACTTATTTTAATTTTCTTATAAAAAAAAAACTTTCTTCTTTGTATTTAGTATCTTTGAAATAAATTAAGTTTTGTTAAAATTATCACACTTTAAATTTGTTTTTCATAAATATTAGCTTATAAATTCGTTAATTTCTTTATTTTTATCAATTAAATAAAAAATAAATTAAAATGACGTTTACTGATATCTTATAAATGAGATATTAATTATCACATAATTTTTATGTTAATTACATTTTACTTAAAAACACACACACACACACATTTATGTATCTTTTAGTTAAATTATCTTTTAATTTTATAACAAAAATTAATGATTTTTGTTAATTTTCTTGTGAAATGTTTCGTTGGTTTTATTTTGCTGCTGATTTCCATTTGTTGCAACTTGCTTTCAAGTTAATTTTTTCGTAGTAAAATTTTAACTGAAAGAAGCCGATGCTGCAAATTGTTGCTGTATCTTTTTGCTTCCCTATTTGGACGATTATTTAATTTATTTTTATTTTATTTTATTTTTTACTTTTTGTAGCTGTTATTTCACTTTTATTCGAGATCTATATTAAATAAATTATAATAAATTATATGCGGTATTCTTCTGTGGTATGGAAATTATTTAATGTTGTCGCATTTCACTCAACGACGAATGTAGCTGGCAAATGGCAAAATATTTTAAGTGAGTTAAATTGACGTATCTTATGATGATTTCGTTGCCTTCGAAAGAACATAACATTTGTTAGTCTTCTCTTTGGCCGCATTTTTTGCAAACCTTTTCATTTCTAAGCACTGAAAAAGGTCAGTTTCTATCGTTGAAACTATCGTTGAGGATACGAGAAAGTATGCGCTTAAAATGATTTATTGAAGGTTCTTGCATGAGGTGGCATGTATTGCAAGCAAAGCAGATTTTTGCATTAATTGTTTTGACAATGCCTGGTCTTCCGCTTAAAATCAATACATTCTGTTACGCTTCACATGTATGCACATACATGTGAAGCAATGCAATATATTGAAAATATTATATTGCGTTAACAGTAATGAACACACACGTCTGACGCTTCAAGTAAAAGCCAAAGACCATGAACTCTTTAAACTGTGAACAAGTGCCTAATGAAGTGCACTTAAGATTCTATTTGACAAGTTAAGATATCTTTAAGATCGAACACTCAACTCTTGTTTACAAAAATAATAATAAAGAGAAGCAATGCTTTGCTTTTTTAACTCAAAGTCTGATTTTTATTTGCAGAAAGTACAAATATTAAGAATTATAAGTAACTGGTGAGAACTTTTGATGTTTACAAATCAAAAAAAAAAAAACAAATAAATAATAGACGATTATGTGTAAAAATACTGAAACAAATTAATAATTCTTAATATTTTTTAATATATAAAGAATTTCAAATACAAAAAAAAGCAATTCAACTCAAGATAACTTCAGAAAAATTTGATATTTCAACATAAGATATATAAACTCTCAATAATAAATATAAATTATTACAAATTATTTATTGCTAATAAACAAAAATATTTTTAAAATAAATGGTACATGGTTTAAGCTACTACTTGAGTAATGTACTTCTGAAATATTGAAACTTTTATTGTTTAAAATTTTTTAACTTGAAAAAAAAACATGTACAATTTTTATCGTTACATGGATCAAGTAATCATCTCCTGCATTTATGTCGAAAAAATAAGTACAGTATTTTTTATAATAAATCCGAAAGTGCTACCTAACAACACCAAAAACCTTCAAGATATGAAAAGAACAATATCTGCTTCATGAACGCAGATGTCTGATAGATTGAAGTGAAACTTTTCTAATGGTATTATGGAACGAATTTTTTTAAAGATTTTTCTGTATTTGGCAACTATGCACAATTATCTTGAAAACGGCATAAACAGGCAACAAAAAAAAAAAAAATAAATGTTTTTAAGACCTACGTGAGAATGCATAATTATATGACATTATTTAATTTGAAAAAGTATAAAGTTTGGCCTACACATTAATATAATTTAAAAAAACTTTTTTAAAGTCTACAGAACTAATGTAAGGAGGCTTTATAATTATAATAAATATATAAAATGAATAGGAAAAAAATAAATATTTATAATAAAAAAATAAATATATTTAATAAAAAAATAAATATATACAATAAAAAAATAAATATATAAAATAAAAAAATAAATACATATAATAAAAAAATAAATATATATAATAAAAAAATAAATGTATATAATAAAGAAATAAATATATACAATATAAAAATAAATAAATATATGAAAAAAATAAGAATAAAATAAATACAAATAAAAAAAAATAAATTATAGAAAAAAATAAACAAAAATGAACAAAAATGAACAAAAATAAAAAAAAATATATAAAAATAAAAACAAAAGAAAAAAAATATATAAAAATAAAAAGAAATATATATAAAAATAAGAAAAAAACATATAAAAATAAAAAAAAAAATGAAGATAACATATAATATAATTTGAGTATAACATCTCTACAAAAATTATTATTTCGCTGTGTATTGCGACCTTAACAAATATATAGAAATAATATAAGGTTTTATTTAGAATAGATCCTCCAAAAATTAATTAATAGCTTTGTTCTGAATTTACATATATAACTATATATTTACATATTTTTTACAATTTTTGTGGTAAGTAGTATTTCTGAAAAAATAACATGACAATTTATCATTTTTGAAATATTCATAGTTTCAAATCAGAACCAGAAATTTGTGTTTTTAAAGTTTTTAAAATATTGATTACGTATTTTTACAACAAATTAATAATTTTAAAACATTTAAGAATTAACTACACAACAAACAAATAATTTATTAACAACGAATTGAAATTTAATATGATACCTAAGACACTAATTTTAACTAGATAAAACAATATTAAGAAAAGACGAAAAATGAGACAACAAATGAATTAAAATATATACATATATATATAAAAAAAAAAATTAATTTATTATTATAAAAATTTAATAAATTTAAAAAATTTCAACAATCAACGCGCAATTAGATAAATTTAAGCGTACAATTTAATTTTTTTAAAATCGTAATAAAAATGATTGAAGATAAAAATAAAAATTAAGTTTATAATTTTTAACACACGATTTTAAATTACTTTATTTTTATGTTTTTTCACATCTTTATGAAAAAATTTTTTTTTTAAATTCATTTAAGCAAAATATATGGATGCTGTATTGGTACAGACGTGGCAATAGTTTGCTATTAAGCTTAATATATTAAAGTTTTTTCTTCTTTTGATGTGGTTTATGACTAACAGCAATAACCTTGAGATACAAAATAAAAAATAAAAAAAAATTGTATATATGGAAAGATATCGTAACGTAAAGTTTGTAGAAATAAAAAAAAAAAATAATTACTTTAAAGATACAAAACATTTTTGAGATTTTAGAAGTGTAACCAAAGTTTTGAGTGAAGAACTTGTTCAGGAAACTAGTTCTTGAGCTGAGAAGTTCAAAAAACTCTTTTTATATGTATGTCGATATTGTTACATTAGAAAAGCCTTAAGCTAATGACAGAGTTTATAGTACTTATGATGTGAAATAGCAAAAAGTTCAGGTACTTATATTGTTTTAAAATATATTTCATTTAAACTGAAGTAGCTCATTTGAGGAATATGTTTTGACAGTCACAACTGTAAACGTCCTTGATAAAAACCAAATCTTGTTAGAATAACAAGAAAAACTCATGAAAAATACTTTTAATAGTTAATTCAATGTTTTTTCAGTCTAATTTTTTAACATTATTACATATACATACTATATATATAATATGTTATATTATATAAATGTTATTGACCAAATGGTTGCTGACTCAAGGACAGAATCACTTATCTACCACATATAGATCAGTCATACGTGGATCAGTCAGTTTAAAAACCATTAGTTTTAATAAATTAAATAGAATTAATTTAAAGACAAAAGTTTTTATTAATTGATGTTGAAGCTATTTGAGCCAGTTCACTTGAGCACTTTTACTCTTTCTTAGCTCGAGGTATTTTCAAAACCCCTCTTTACGCCTTGACTGTATTATTGTTTATCACTTCATCAGACTAAGCAATAATTGACCTCAGATCTGTATAAAAAATTTTAAAATATTTTTTTAGAATAAACAAATTTAAATATATATCTTTTTAAAATAAAAAATTTTTTAAAAATATTTTTCATTATAAAAAATTACTTTAATAAAAAGAACAAAGAGAACACGTGCGCATATTCTAACAGTTTTAAATTTAAGTAAAAAAAAATCGGCTTAGAAAGGATTGGTCATGCTGTATCTATCTATAAATATGGTAATTATTTATATACAAAATTAAAACAAAAAGCTATAAATTAACGAAAACACACCCACAGTTAGGAATTAAAATATTATTAATTTTTAGAAAATATGCTGAGACTCAATTAAATACACAATTACTTATAAGTATTTGAAACTATTTGAACATTTCTAACTGATCAGATCAATATCTTTTCGAAGGAATTTTTGAACTTAACAATTTTGCAATTCTTAATTTTTATTAATCTTGATTAATTGCCGAGTTTAAAGACACACATAATTCAAATAATTAAGCAATGAGCTCGTACTGCTAATAAAGTGTGCCGCAACAAATTTAATTAGCTATTTTTTTATGAGTAAATTACGTATGGAATGAAGTAAGTTTAAAATTACAAACAAAGCTAACAATCCTCACTGCAAATTACTTAATTATTTATCAATTACTTCTAAAAATTTCATACATACGAATATATATTTGGTAATAGACTCAAAACATTAGTGTTAATAAAAAATTAAGTTTATTTTATATACAAAAAATACTTTCATTTTCAATTATCCATATTGCAAAAATAAAAATTAATACTTATAGATAAAATTGTTTTTACTGCTAATTAAAAAAATAGCTCTTAAATGAAAATAAATATAAAATAAGGAAAGTGTAAATAAATAAAGAGATTTGTCATACATTGCCTAAAGAA